CAGTTGACCGGTGAGGTTCTGTCCACAGAAAATAAAACTGCCTCAAAAATGAGGTCCATCTGAACAGACAAGCCACCAGCACCTTCAGTGAAATTCATCACTGGTGTCACAGAGAGAAACAAGTGGAATTAGTCATTGACATCAGACATGTCATTTGTATAGAAATGTCAGCAAAGCATTCGCATAATGATGGAAACAACAACGCTGAGGGCTCTGGGCCTCGCACTCTGATGGCTGTGTGCAAACGTCACCAATAATGTGTCTTTAGTCTAGACATGTCAGGGCTCTGTGGGATCTATATTCACGCCTTTTTGTCAGCGCCTTCAATCTTCCCTGTTGCTCAAGAGCTAAGTGCAAGAGATTAATAAGTGGATTTGTTATGCACAACCTCAGGTTTGACACTATAAGTCATCGGCTGTTTATCGCTTTGGCTTTCTCGCCAGATTGAAAAATGGCAGACGCTGAGTAAGTTAGTCAGCCAGGCCTCCTACCCCACCCTGCACCCTGCCACCCTCCTTTTTCAACCCCCTCCTCCTCCTCCTCCTCCTCCTCCACATACTTCAGGACCAGGAGGTACAGTATTCTGTAGCAGCTAATGAGCAGCTTGTGTCTTTTCTCTGTTTGTTTCCCTCTGGCAGACAGATGATGTGACGCAAACAGAGGGCTCTCAGCAGCTCCAGCTCCAGCACTCAGACTCTTCAGAGAAGCAGCAGCCCAAAAGGTTACATGTCTCCAACATTCCCTTCCGCTTCCGGGACCCTGACCTAAGGCAAATGTTTGGGGTGAGTACCCACGAGGAACACTGGTATTCAACACCACTGCACTCGCTAAGTTAATCTGCTACAGCAAAGTCTGGAACACTCAGGTGACCAGAAACGCAATAAACAAAACAGCAGTTTACAGATTATCTAAAGATCATTAAAACCACTTTATTTGGATGTAAAACGGAAACTTGGCACACCCAGAATGTTAAATGGTATTAATCCTCATCGCGGTGTTTTATAGTCGAGGGGCCCAACCTCGCCTGAAACAAAGAGCACCTCCACTAATGTCAGAAAAAATTATTACATCTTTATGAAATGGAATATTTGGCTTATTAAGCTTCAGGGAAAACAAGCTAAATCACGCAACCAAGGCTGCTTATTTAATGAGTGACGCCAGTGCTTAAAGTGTCATCTAGTTAATGCATTGATTAGTACATTGTCAGGGAGGGGAGGGGGGGGAAGAGTGCCTCCTGAGTTTTTACAAGCAATAATCAGTTACAATCAGGTAGTGGACTTACTGCTGCACTGCACGTTGAACACTGGGCTGAGGTTCGTTGAGCTATGGAACCCAGTAATGATTTTACCGATAGTTAAAAAAGAAAGAAAAACGAAGCAGAATTAATATCTTCTGTTTTGTTAAATAGCTCATATATCAGAGTACACACATGGAGGATTTGTTCTTAACGTGGGAAAAGATCTTAAGTAGCTTCCACAGAACTGTCAGTCAGGACGGAGGAGATCTTTTTTTTTTTTTTTTTTTTTACAGGTTGCACATAGAGAGTGGTCAGAATAGCACAGGTCCATAACAGAAATTCTCTCGTTCTCTCTCTCTGCCTCTTGGCCAATTAATGAGGCAATATATAGTTCAACAGCTCACCCTTGTGTCTCACAAAAGCCTCAATAAGAATTGAACCAAACAGCCCCGATTCAATAACGATAATGGATCTGAATGGAGACGATTGCCAAAAATGTACTTTAAATGTTATGCGCTAATTGGACCATTAGAACCCAGAGGCGTTAATTCGCGTTGTTATGAAGACAACATCCAGCTGATGATATTAATTACTTGAGAGCCCTAGCTGTGGCTTTATAAATTGCAGACAACATGGCTGCTCTCCCTCCTTCTCTCTCTCTCTCTCTCTCTCTCTGATTGTTGGCTTTATTGTTCCCAGCTCCGGCGCAGGTCGTGTGGAATCCAAATCACTTCAGTAATTAGCTCGGAGGCTTTGTGTAGCTGGCCGGCGCATGCAGATATATGATACAAAATTGATCGTAGCCCACCCAGTCCCCCTCAATCACCACAGCCTCACCCACATGTTGCCCGTTCCTTCTTGTTAAGCGCGGCCTCTGCTGGTTTGGAATCGTGGAGGATTGAGGGATTGATTGTCTTGGGTAGAGCTTGGCAAGGAGATAGCTGGTCCGCTCCACCCTCTGACATGGCCTCCACAATGGGCCTTTGTGTGATCAGCGTGTGCAAAGCCTCATCCCTCTAGCTCTAATGGCTTCTGGAGCGCCACCGGCTCAATACGCCATTACTGTTACGCATGAGTGAAACCCACAGACATGCAGGCGGGAAGACAGAGGAGGAAAAGAGTGGAGGTGCTGCACAGCTCGCTAGGGAAGGGGGGCCTCCACTGCAGAGCAGAGCCCCGCCAGGAGCTCCATCTGCCCCCACACAGCACGGACAAACCTTCTACCACTGTTTCAACAACAGTAGACAGCCTGCACCCTAAAACAAGCAGGGGAGGGCCCGAGATTCACCCCGCGCACCACAGGGTTAAGGGTGCTGCGAAACCTGTGAGCTTTTAACGAGGCGCTGAATGAAGGCCTCATTAGGGCAACCACAGCGGACGTTAATCAGTAATTAGAAACTGTGATCTCTGAGAGCTAGTAAGTGTGAGGGGAAATGAAAACACTCCAAGTGCGAGCGAGCTCTGTGCAGCGCCCATGCTGCGCTGCTTGAGGGTGCCCTCGTTTATGCGACTGGCTTCTTCAGCAGTGCTTCTCTCAGTGCACGTAAGGGCTCTCACAGCATTCCCCGGAGCAATCAGGACCTCTGCCCTCCCTCCCCTCCCCTCCGTCCTACTGTCACACTGACGGCTGCTCCTGAACATGCTCTACACTTCCACTCTGTTTGAATACACAGGGCACTGTGGCGTAATTATAGGTTTCTGAGGAGCTTAAAGATATTCAGCCTAATCAAAGGTGGAGGCACAAGGGCCTCAATCTTGTTTGTTGCCTCCACATTCGGAAGCTTAAGGCCTCGAATATACAGTCTGTCATCATTTTATTCAGGGGAAAAAAGCCTGCAAGTACCAGCGTGTTTACAATTTTTAGCTCTTTAACTGCAAATCATGTCTGCTTTACTTTTTTTACTGGCCATTTTTATATGCATGCTATTCAGTTTTAAATATTTCAGTGTATTTTTTTTCTTCTGGTATTCCAGGCAGCCACTGGTTTCTGCCCATTTCGGTGTAAATACTACCCACTTAAACATGCATGAGTTGTGTAATCCATTTTCTATTTCTCCATAATGTATTTTAAGTGCAGATTAAAAATTATTTCGGGACTCTGCACAGCATTACTTAGGAATGATAATATAATGGAAGCCATATGGAAATAAAAGTAAATGGAAACTAAAGAAAAACAGTCAAATGTCTTAAATGTTGCAGCATGGTTTGCGGAATGTTAAATTAAACATAAAGTGTGCTTGAGAAATTGGATAAAACACACAAAACCACTCATCTGATCGTTTAAACTTATAGATGCCTCTGTTTTTATTTCCATACGGATATTGAATTGTGTTCATAATCTACGGATGGATGTAGCTGCAGCCTCTTAGATGACGTCAGCCTCTCCGCTGTCCTCCCTCTGGAGACTCCTCCCATTGAAGCTATTGTTTATCGGTGCTGCTGATGCAGCTGTTTCTGTGTGCGAGAGTGTGTGTGAGTGGGTGGGTGGGGAAAGAAGTGCATGAGATCACTGGCGAGCAGCGAGCAGTCCCCAGCGCCATGTGGAAATCCACAAAGACGACTTCCTCTGAAACTAATTAATCGACGCCACAAGCCCATTACGCTCGGTTAAAACAATTAGCATCTGCACGTTGCGTGGGGGAAGCATTGTCTTCTCAGGCGAGAAAGGGGCATCACGCTGGGATATAAATGCCTGCGTGTGTGATCGAGCCAACAGTCCCCATTCGAATCAATGGAGCTGAGCGCCATATGAGGCAGATGTGTGGTTAGGATCTATGGAATCTCATTTCAAGACGAACAGACATATAGGGGGAGAAGATGCACCCTGCTGAAACAGAGGTTTTAAATAACTGAGCCACTTTTGTAACTTGGTGTGGTGAGGTTGCTGCATTACCCTTTGAAGTGGGAGGAAACATATGTTTTTCCGCTAACCCATAAACCCTCAGCTCCTCAAGCCCACTCCACTCACTCCAGCCAGATAATAGCCAGCTCCTCCTAACCCCTATTAGTGGCTCAGTCAAACGATCCATCCATTCCCATTGAGCGTCGACCACATGGAAGGCCCATTTCTTCCCTGTTGTGCTGAAATGAAGGCGACGCGGACCGCTTGACAGGGTAATTACTTTTAATGAAATAATACGGCCATTGTAGACAGCAATTAAAAGTCGCTCTCACTCCACTCATTAGAGGAACTTACAGTTTACTTTCATTCCTCTGTTTTCTAATGATCCAAAGGCAGCCCTGTTAAATCGAAAGGCTGGAGCATGTTAACCCCTGGGGACCGGCCCTTAGGTCCTGTTGACTGTGAGAGAACACAAACAAAGAGAGGAAGAGAGAATAGAGAATAGAAGGGAGAGGGGTGTACAAAAAGAACAGAAAGGTAGAGCCAGACGTGGTCCACTAAAGTCTCCACAAGACTTGAAGAAGTGAGTTTTCCTCAGGTGATCGTGGAGGTGGACAGGGTCCCGTATCTCAAGACAACATCAAAATATCATCTGATGCTTCTTCTTTTCTCTTTGTGTTCAAAGACGCAAGCAAACAAACATCAGAAATGCTGTAATATAATCAAAGATCAAGTATTTTTTTTTACAAATACTGTGATCTCATTTCATATAGTATTGATAGAAATACAGAAAGGCATTAAAGCAGCAGCTCTGGGTTCTCTTTTTAAACCGTGCCAGCGAGCTTCAAGAACTGTTTGCCGAGCTAACAAATGCAAATTGACCACCATTTCCTCACAAAAGTAACATTTCCATATTGCCTTAATGGTTTTTCTTTCTCCAGTCTTCCTGCTCATGAATTCACAGGCAGTGAGGCTTTCTAACTCCATCTCTCTTCTCTTTTTCTTTTCTCTCTGCAGCAATTTGGAAAGATTTTAGATGTGGAGATTATCTTTAATGAGCGAGGATCCAAGGTAAGTGAACTAGAACGCCAGCTGCTTCATTACCATGTACTTCTTCTGTTTCCTAATGATGGCATTAGTGTAGTGTGTACATTGGCTGAGAGTAGTGGTCTCTAAGCCTGGTCCTGGAGAGCTGCATCCACCGTGTCTCTCTTTCTCGTTCTCCCTCCCTCCCTATTGTTTTTGTTGTTTGTTGCAGCTCTCACCCAAGTTGTGAATCATTAGCCCTGTCAATCAATTCATTATTGAGCTGTTTCACATTTCACTTAATCCACCAGCCGGCTGCAGGTCGTCAAGCATATGGAATTGAAACTGCTTGTTTAGGGACCTGGCCCTCTTTGAAGCCTGAGCATTGATTGAAAAGGTTCTACATTATTCAGCTTTATCATTTTGTTATAAACTGGGTAGAAATAATATTTTGCAAATAGATGTAGTTTAGGTAAAATGAACTTTATCTCCCATTTATATGGCTATATGGAAGCTGACACTAATTCATTTCAAGAACCCAGCAGAAGGATGAGGTTAGTGCTAATTTGCATTTCTTCTTTTTTTGTCAACAAACCTAAATGAAATGACCAAAAAACCAACAATGTGTTACTCCCTTTCTCAGCACTTCTTCTACTTCTGTTGCACTCGGCCCCCAAGCTCACCGGTTCCTATTGAGGTTGTAAGTCTTTAAAAACAGGTCACCGATATGCAGATTTATTTTTTTTTAAAAAGAAAAAGCTCAGCGTTTTCCAAAAATATCGGGCCACTGCAGTTTTTAGTCAATAGTTCCATTGTTGGGGACTATTTTCAGCAATAGATTAATACACACTTGGTGCTCCAGTGAGTATTTCTGTGGAACTGAGTCAAAATAAGCCACAGCGAGTTTGTGGTGGCTCAATGATGAGTTTTTAATAGGACAGCGATGGAGCTCTGCGGCACAAAGAAGCATCATATAAGCACAAAATACTTTGGTTTTGGGTTTTCACAAGATTTGTTGACATTAAGAGAAGTATTGAACATAGACAGCCCCGTTCTCAAAGGTCAGCTGTGCAGAGAACCTGAAAGACTGCATGGGATTCCAATTTTACCTTTAAAAATCTTACAACGTGCACTTACCTTATACTCCTTGAATCATTTATGTATTTACCTCAAAGATAATGGAAGTCTTAACCAAGAATACCAACCAGCCATCAGAAAAATGGCCCCGGCGTTGAAGCGTTGCTGCAGTATCAGTCTCCTAGCCACGTACCAGGACAGGTGAAGCCTGCGGAGGTGTGAACAGCCGAGTGCTACTCACCCAGCTGTTCATTTAATAGAGTGTACTAAGCTCCAGAGCTTTCCATTCATAAAGGCGACAGGCTCCCTGGCTGGGTGTTGAGGCATGAATACTATTGATTCCCATTCATACCTAGGAGTACTTTGGGCTCACATACTGGCATGCAGGGAGCCTGGAACCAGGCGATGCTGCTGCACTCAGCCCCCTCTGCCAGACAAGATTGAGCACCGGATAAAGCTGCCTCCTCCGCCGTAACAAGCATTTATTGTTTGTGCCCTACAAAGCCATTACCCATGATGCCTCTCTCTCTCTCTCTCTCTCTAGCACTCTGTGTGCTATATAATGAACCTACCAGGCCATTAATAAACAATCTATTTCCTATGAAGCTTTGGCAATTTGCATTCAATATGTTTGTCTCCTTTGAAAAATGGTGGCTCCACTCTCTCCTCTTGTAAGCTAATTATTTGTGCATGATAAAAAAAAGATAGAGGGGGTAACCACAGTCGGGTGAATGTCCAAAGGATTAATTTTGCCCTCAATTCCTTTTTTGAATTTATTTCTTTATCTCTCTTTCCCCAAGGACAGGTCCCGTGTTATTTATGCTAGAAATAGCAGCCCGGAGATCCTGTGTATGCATACAAGATCACACCGCTCGCCATCTCTCACATGTATTACATCCTCAAGCAATTATCAGGCAGTGCCGGCCATGCTCTCTCTTCCCCTGCCCATACCTCTATAAGTATATATAGAAACCAAAGGAATGGGACTTGTTTGGCCAGAATATCTTAATGCTTCCGCTATAGAGCTCAGGTCCAGTATCCCAGTCCACATAACTCAAGGAAGTGACAAACCCCCCAGGGGAGTCAGGCAGAGAGAGAGTTGGAGGAGGGGGATGGAAATGAGAGGTTGGGTGTATTTTGGTCAGGGTTTAAAGTCAATATCGTTGCTCTTCTCTATCACAGAGGAGTGTATTTGCGAAGACACCATTCACTTTTTTGCATCAATGAACCGGTGTAATTTTGCTTCCATAAAAATGTCCCAACTATTAGCGCAGTGAATCAGAAATAGCCAGAGATCAAGTGAACGTTTCTCTTTAGAGAATTCATCCTCAGTCCGTCTCCTGTTTCCCACGTCTTCAAAGGGAAGACGGGGCCATTTGAGCGGCCACACTGCTGAAGTTGTGTAGATAATTATACGACTATTATGGCAGCTAACACAGTGTTTTGCATCCGCTGCTCCCTGACATTCACCCATGGCACCGGTGCCGTGCTGTTTAATTGGGTAAAGCAGGCAGGTTTGTTGGTGTTGTTGTGCGAGGTCATGTCACCGTTATCCTCTTCTCCTCGGATCTCTCTGTTTGCTGTTTCCTGACGCCTCACTAACTGCCTCTAATTAATCTGGCTGCTTACAACTCGACTCTGCCGCCACTGCTGCTCACCTACTCCTGTCTTCTCACCTCTCTCTCTCCCTTTTCTCTTCCCTTCCCCTTTCTTTTTCCTTCTCTGTATGTGTGTGCGTGCGTGTGTGTGTCTGTGTCCACCTTCTCCTTTTTCTCTACCGATGGCTAACGTTGGTGCTCTCAGGGCTTTGGGTTTGTAACTTTTGAAACAAGCACAGATGCTGATCGTGCACGGGAGAAACTAAACGGTACAATCGTAGAGGGACGCAAAATAGAGGTGCTTTCATTTTTTCCCTTCTTCCTCATCTTTTCTCCTTCTTGCCTGCTGCCTTCTCAACTTACCTATAAACCCATGCATAAGCATGTGGCTGGTGTGTGTGTGCGGATCTGCATCTCTGAGTATGTGTGTGCCTGGATGCATGCATGCATAATGGTGCGTTTAACTCCTTCTCAGTAGAATGCGGGATCCATACATGGACACGCCAGTTGTCCATCATTACCTGACAATGCAGAATGAATGCATGCCATCATCTTCTGGACTCCTGTCAAATCTGAGAAGACCTGCATTCCCCTATCACCATCGTTTAGTGTTGCCTGCTCTAATTCTGTTTTTGTTTACGACTGAGCCAAGCCCACACTCAGTCATTCTCATCAGGTCAATAGACGAAAATCAAAGCACTGTCTGTGTTTTTCTTTTGGAATCCATTTGTTTATCCAACCAATTACTGAATTTGGAGGATGTTCTTTTATATTCATACCTGTGGGTAATTGGTGCATGCTTCCCCTTTTCCTTCTGGTTATATAATAATCTGTAAGAAAATGAATAAATTCATGAAACGGTGGATGAAACTCAATCACACTGAAGTGTTTCAAACCTATTTAAATAATCATTTATTTATTTATTTATTATTTTTATGAATTAGTCTCGATTCATCTGGCTGCTTGCTCATAGCCCACCCTGGATAGGTGAATAGTGAATGTGAAGTAATCACAAGCTGTGTGTTTTGCTGCTTTGACCAGGTGAACAATGCAACAGCACGAGTGATGACAAACAAAAAAGTGGCCAACCCCTACACGAATGGTAAGCGGCGTACTTTATCATAAAGCCTACACAATAAAACAGTTTCCATTTAGTTTCCATTGTGAGCTGAGTTTTGTCTTTGTTCCATCAGGCTGGAAGCTGAATCCAGTAGTAGGAGCTGTCTATGGTCCTGAACTGTACGCTGGTAAGAGCTACAACAGTGTTTTTTTTTTTCTCTCTCTCTGCCTTCCACCATATGCATTGCACCATACACAGGGCCACTATCAGCTGCAGCCAATCCCAATCTGACCCCTGAATTTCTACAATCTGGTTCATCCTGAACCTACTGAACATGAAATTCCCTTCGAATCAAAGTGAATCTGAGAGCGGCTCAGATAAGCAGTGGATGATCCAAGCCTCTCTGAGTGGCTGAGGGAGCCTGAGCCATTGTTTGCGCGGTGTGCAACTGTAAAGCTGAAAAAAAATGATTTCAAGAGCAAGCGCCCCTGCAACTGTTATCAGATTGTGGAGGCTGCTGCTGTGGATGGATTTGCCAAGTGCGCCAGATTGACTTTTACAGAGCTAACCGAATAAGGGAGATTGAGTGAGCGATATTGTTGGCACCTACCCTGTCGAAGGCCGCTATTCCTTCTGGTCTCAGTAATGGAGGAATGAGATGAGCTCAGTGGGGTTTTCCCTATCTCTCTCTGCCTCGACATGCCAGCTTTATTGCTGTATGTTATATGAACCCTTTGCATTTTAATGAGGGGGAAATGGTACTATTTCATTTGGAAGAAGTGCTGAGCACATCGCGCCACTTTAACGGCTTTCCTTTCTGCTCATTAGACTAAAATCTGTTCATTCCCCGGACAGCTTTACGGCGAACCTCTAAATAACTGTCCATGACAGAAAGCAGTCATCTATCATTTTTATTTCATCCCCAACCCCTCACCCCCTCCAAGCCTCCTCCCCTGCCTCCCACTCACCTCCTCCCCCCAACACTCCTTTGGTTTCGACATCTTCGCCTGATAATTATTCACACACACAAACACACGCACATCCCTGTGTAGCCGCATACTGAAATATATGCATTGTGATGAGTTCGGGTTGAATTTTCACTAAATTAAAGATCTGAACATGAAGTAACTTCCATTAACAATAATTTCTATGACCTATATACACACACACACGCACACAACACTATCACCTGCCCTGTTTTTTTTTTTTTTCCACTCAGACCAAAGCATTCCAGCATACAGAAATAGATAACCTATGTAGAACACAGACACTAATACATGTCCCCTCTTCCGTGCACACTTTCTCCATTTTACACACACACACACACACACACACACACACACACACACACACACTTCCCAAATCATCTCATAAATCAGAGGGAGTGTGGTCCACCACTCCAGGCAGGGGAAGCAGGAGGGGTTGGGTGATTTATTGGCTGCTAATTTTTCAAGTCGTCTTGACATGGCGCTGGAGTTTGCCAAGCCTAAACGACAACATATGCTTGCCAGCTGGGAAGATGGGAAACATAAATAAGAGATACATTTTTGAAACAAAACCTCCCTAATGAGCAGAAAAAGGCTGTTTTAACCCACACACAAAAAAAACCCTGTCCAGGCCTTAGATTGTTATTTTCCTCCCCTTCCTACAAAAAAAAAAAAAAAAAAAAAAATCACATTGCAGAATTCAGGACATATTCCAAAATCATCATAGCTACAGTTAATATACTTTTGGTGGGAGTAAAATGGGATATAAAGGCGATTAATCACTGTTTATCAGTCCTCATTTCTGTGCAGGAGATCAGTGAAATTGGGAGCCATAAATCCTGGCTCGGTGACAGCACACTTCGTCTCCATTCGTCCTGGCGCTACAGGTTTATTGTCCTCAAAACCCATTCAGGAGAATGACGGATGAGAGCCTCATGCCGGCTCCCCGCTCTTAACCTCTTCTAGGGTAGATTGGCTCCTCCTTCTGGTGGAGGAGGGAGGTGGTGGGGAGCACTTGGTGGGGTACTGGCAGTCGGCGCCAACCCCGGGTCCGTGTCCTGTGTTGCCACCAAACACCCAAACCTCCCACAGAGCTCCTACTGAAGGGTGCTGGAGAGGTTTCATAGGTCAGCGTCGTGATCCCAGAAAAAAAAAAGAGGAGGGGGAGAGATTGGGTTCCCAGTCAAACGGAGGGACTGGCAATAAAGCATGACAGTGGCACAAATCATGGGACGGCGTTCAGTATCTGTGCTCACCTGTGTCCTCTTTTAGTGTGCACTGATGTGGTTTAATGACAACTTTTATAGATGAAAGTTGTACAAATACATGTGTAGACATTTGCATATGTCTTCATCTTTGTGTAAATGTAACTCAGTGTAATTTTACACATATTTTTAGATTGATTTTATCATTCATTGTCTGAAATTTGAGGGGAAAAAAAAAACGTTGGAGAGGTTAATCTTACATCAACACGGGGAAAATGTATTTAAATGACTAGGAAAAATACTCAGAGGCAGATCAGTATGCAGTACATATTGCACTGTTTAGCGCATCTTACAATAATTGGCAACCTTTTCTCGATTCCTCGGTGTTGGATGTTTTCAGCACCACGGACAGCTGTCACTTAGAAATCCCTTCATATGGCGGTTCCCCCCCTCAGGCTACCAGAGAGAGACTCTTCTCTGCAGCTTAATTCCTAGGGAGACAGGAGATGAGTAGCTTTTCATTCACTAGTTCATATTTTCTGCTACTAAGGTGGAGTTTTCTTGAGGACTCGTGAAAAGCTACCAGCTGTGTAAATGACAGAAAAGAAAGGCTAATTGCCATCTTAATATATGTAGACAGATCCTCTCATTGTTGGAGTGTACTTTGGGGGGATAATTAAGCTCCAGACTCTTGATTAGATTAAGCTGTTTTTGGTCCCCAGTGCGTGGATTAAGTGCTCATTGCCCGATGTATTTGAGCAGGAAGTATTAGAGAGATCAACCTTGTGGAAAATCAGATCTTTCTTTATGGGAGCCGGTTATGACCCCATCATTGGCACAGAGCTGGATTACCTCAGGTCCAACTGGCTCTGCAGGTATTGAGCTTCTCTCAAGTTGACACATATGACATATGAGGTGCAGTGTGACCCTGCCGCCCTCCAGCACATAACTCATATTTTCTCCAGCCCCCCTCCCGGAAAAGGTGTTTGACTTTGGTGGCTAGACCAGGTTTGTGCTCTCATACACCGTGGCTGTTGTTGCTTTTCACAGGCTTACCAAGGTGTGACAGTGCCTTTGATTTATGGGTTATTATTGAAGCAGTGTAGCCTATCGCCAACTCATTATGAGTTTACATTCACATACATCACGGCATGCATATTGCATACAAATTTTCAAAAAAGAAAGAAAGAAGCAATTGAACTTTGTGGGGCCTAGAAGCAGAAGCAAAACACAGTAGAGGAAAAGGGGGGAGGGAAAAAAAACACACCTTGGAAACTATCAAAGAGGATTGTTTTTGCCCTTTAGCAACTGCACTCAGATGTCCACTGCTCCAAAAAAAGAGACTAATTTAAATGTCAAGGTCAGCATTATAAATCACTTGGGGGAAAGGGGGCACCCTGCTAGTCCAGGCAGTCTATTGGTACGTTGGCAGCAAACAAAGTGCCCTGCACATTGGTGGGTGGGTGAAGAGGAGGAGGGGGGTATGTGGGCGTCACCTGGCCAAATGAGACGCAAAGTTTGAATATGTGTGTGGACCCACTAATGGAGCGTGATGTTAATGGCAGAAGACATTAAACCTAGCTCTCTGTGTTTTTAAAAGCACCACTAATCTGTCTCCCTGTCAGCTTTATTGAAGCAGCGGGGCTAGGGTGTGCATCGTTCATTAGGGTGCTCACTGGTCTCAACCAACTGCAGGGTTAACGCTGCACACAGCGCGGCAACACCAGGCCGTCGCTCCCCAGGCAGAAACCGATACACCGCTGGCTGTGTACGAGCCACCATGGATCTTCATTGCAGTCTAGTTTATCTGAGATTGCGAGCGACCGTTTGCCGTCTCCATTGTGGCAGTGGGTTCATCTGAAACGCATTGGATACATGTTATTAACCTGAGTTATTCACCCCAACTGAGGAAAAGTCTCGCCCCACCCCCCACCTCAACATGATCAGACACGAGCGCCACAACTCCCCATCGCAGAGCCATCTCTGATTGGAGAAACCGAAGTGGCCCGTGATGAATTCACCCAAAACATGTCATGGAAATGAATAAAGAAGAATAAGGTGAGGGAAGGGTGGCAAAGGGGGCGTTGCTGGGGGATGAAGAATAATGGGGCTGACTGTGTTGTGATGGACTAGGCGTTGGGGGAGGGGTTGAGGGGGCGACGACCAGAGCGAAGGGGGCTGTGAGGGAATTTCAATTGCTGGAAAAGTGGAGGCCAGCTTAATCACGTCTAGAGATCAGTGTGTTTGTATGCACCTCCACAGCCTGTAATCAGACAGCCACTGGACTGATTGAAGGTTAAGTGGAGAGCTGACGATCACATCGGCTGTCCTCTAATCTGTGACCGTGACCATTTTGTTGCGGCATCGCACCAACCCTTCACTGCTCACCCTGAAGCCTTTCACCCCGACTGGCCCTTTCTCATTCACTGGTAGCCATCAGCAGAGGACGTATGTAGCTGTGTGATTGGCTAAATATGGTCCCAGATGGGTTTGGAGATGGGGGTCATGCTGAGGTTTGGGCCTTGGCTGTCCAGCCCATCTGCTGCAGTTCCCCTTGGGGAAGTTCTGAACATCTAGTCAGGTTGTTCAACAACCTTCACCTCCCATTTGTCTCTACCCAACACCTAGAAACGCCCTCTACCTCTACCCCGTCCACCCTCCCACTGCTCTCTTCGCTGCTAGCCCATTGTGTCTAAACTATGCAAAAGCCGTGGTGCGAAACTAGTGGTATTGCATCCATTACCTGCCTAGGCTTCAAGGCTGCCCCTCACCAGGCATCAGGAAAGGATGCGTACAGCAAATGTGGATCCTTGCTGAGTACGGCACAAAGCAGCGAGCTGGGAAAGGGGAGAGTGCTCGATGAGGCGCACCTAGAAAAGATTAAATCTATTGTTTCCTTGTCGTCCCCATAATGCATTCTGTCATAGGGAAAGCAGTGCCACACGTCTCTCTCTAATGTATTCTGTCATAAGGTAAGCAATGCCAAGTCGAGGATGTTTTCTGAAAGTCATTTTCTCTTCTCCCGTGTGTTTCTTCCATAGTAACAGGGTTTCCCTACCCTGCCACAGGCGCTACAGTGGCCTATAGGGGTGCCCACTTGCGGGGACGGGGACGGGCTGTGTACAACACATTCCGCACAGCCCCACCACCACCACCAATCCCAGCTTACGGAGCGTGAGTATGAATCTCTAACCGACACCTAGGAAACAGCACTGAGCACTTCAGACAATGGCAGTTTTTGTTGTGTTCATACCACAGTGAGACTGTAACAAAACTGCTCCAATCATGTGTTTGTATGCACATTTTTTCAGCTAAGTTTTGGTGTGGTAGTCATAATTTAACAATTTCTAAGAATTATGTCATTATGTCTGAGGACTACATGCTGTACTTGAACAGAAAAGTGGGGTGTTTAATGTAGCTAAGTTTGTTAAACTAATAATACGGGCCATCAGCTGTTACTGTCCTGCTTCATATTTTTATGTAGACAGGTCTTTGGGGAGTATTTTGTATCTAGTGTTTCCCATTAATTACCCAGACTGTGGCAGCACGCCACACTTTCATAATGAACTGAAATTCAGAAAGGTTCAAATGAAGCATATCCAGAATGCTACTCCTCAGTCTAACAACACTAAACATTCATAAACCATAGGGTTTGGATAATTTATTATGACTGATAAGCCCCACAAAGAATATGACATTGTTTACAAGCAGTACTTTGCCTTAGATGTCATTACAATGTCCGGTAGTTTTTTCCTTTAGGTGTGTACAGTCCCACAAAGGAGGTGTAGCTCTCTGCAGGGCTGAATGATGTGCTTTTAAAGAAAAACATAAAATTATTTTGACACATACTGTGATATAAGTAATGATTTAAGAAGGACTGGTGATTTTTGCACTTCTTTTCCCACTGAAAAAAAAAGAAAAAAAAAATGGTGATGCAATTTTTGCTGCAGTCTGTACCAAACAAGCAGGTTTCCTTACGTCTGGAGAATATGATCATTCAGCCCTAGTTCTTGGCAGGCAGGCAGAATGAGGCATAACACCAGACCAACTCCTCAGTGATGAGGAAAAGCAGAGAGGCACCATCGTAATGTTGCATGAGCCGAGCAAACAGAGTGCAAACATTTGGATAACTGTTAAACTGAAATTTGGGCCAAGCTACAGACTATGGCTGATTACAGTAACTTGATCGCTTTGCAGTGGCTGTTACTTTTATTTGTCAAAAAGTACATAAAGCAACTGAGATAGCTGAAGTAGAGCACCTTCTATACAGTCTGATTTGACACCAGGTACACCTCCCCCAGTCAGCTACCACTACAAATAGAATCTTATTCCAGGGGAAGCTACGTATCTACGTATATGCGCTAACGCCTCCCATCCTTATATTTGTATGTTGACAAAGCAAGAACTGACAAAGCCACAGTGAGAGCTGTAGAGAGCTGAGATAGTGTATTACTGGGCAGATCTCACTGGACTGTGACCAGGGCCTATGCTGATCTCCTGGCTTTGTGCAGCCCTGCCTCACACTCGTCTCTTATCAGCAGTGGTCTGTGTGGCCGTGGGAGAGGTCTGACGGAGGCCGGCCGAGGGCCCAGTATAGCTGTCTATCTGTGATTAGATCAGGATCCGTCTTACTGCAGAGGGACTTGCCGCTGAAGCCGGGACTGGAAATCCCACGTCCCCGTTCCCCTCCCTCCCACTCGGGGGCCCTTTGCTACCGTTGGCAGCTGGTTGATTTATATAGCAAAGTCATGTGACGGAGCTCCTTCACTGCCTTCTTTTGTCCTCCCCTCCCCTCCCCAGCACCACCAGCCCTCCTGACAACAACCGCAGCAACTGGAAAGACAAACAATTTTACCAGAGCAGAAAATTGGACAGGGATGTGAAACAGTTGCACCGTTCAGTTTAATGTGTCATTCATTATTTGTGGTACAGTGCACTAAAGCTGCAAAGAGCTGACCCCATAGACCCACAAATGGGGCAATATAGGAAGAATGGCAAGAGCTGAGATTCAGAAAGGCAGGATGTAGACCAAGTCAACTAACTCCCCATTCTTGTTCCATAATTTCACAGGGTGGTGTACCAAGATGGCTTCTATGGTGCAGAGATCTATGTAAGTACAGTTTGCTTTCCTTTTTCTTTCCTGCTTAGATGAAACAGAAGTAAAGCAGACAAGAAGCCCAGCCCTGGAGACAAAAACGTGATCTCCTCAGCCCCCAGCTTTCACCCAGCCTCGCTGCCAAGCCGGCGTCGATTAGGCCTCTGTCTACTGTGCCAAGAAACCCAACAACAAAATTTAAAACCCCCTCAGCTCCTCCCTCCTCTCTTCCTATGATCTCAGACTTTGGCAGAGAGGCAGACCCTGACTCAGTGTCCCATGTCAAGTTAGGTCATTTCTTCCTTCAGATTTGTCTGGGTTTTTGAGGTGTCGTCCCCCTCCTCCTCCTCCTCCTACTCGCTACCTCTTTCCTCCTTTCTCCTGTTTAGCGTTTTGTGTTCACTCGGAGGGTTTGGCTGGGATATCCCTGCCTGCCCCAGGGGGTCTGTGCAGGCCTGAGTGGAGCTGGTTCCTCCCAGCCATCACCATGTGGGAGATAAGAGGAGCAGCAGATAAAGGGATTAGCCGTCCCTCTGGAGCTGTCCGTGCAGGCAGGGTCACATCAGAGGCTGGCCCTGCTGCACGTCGTCCTTGACAGAAAAAAGCATGGACGCTGTGGAGATAATGCTGAAATTACCACGCTGCCCCACTTTGACATCAGTCCAAACGTTTGCGGGGGATGTAATTTGTCCCTTTGATTCTGCTACTTTCTTTTTTTTTTCTCTTTTTTGCTGCCGCCGTCTGCTGAGATAGCGAGATGACAGTGGGCACGGCAGCAGTGACAGTTGCTTCTCACTTTCACCCTGACGAAGACCAGTGTCTGGGAATGAAATGCTAAACCCAAGTGATATATGACTTACACACGGGCCCACATGATAGGACTGTATTTCACTGGCTTTTATTGTAGCGACACCCACCACCATAGAAGAGACCCGGGCTGCGCTCTGAGTGATGGTGTTTGTCTCTCACACTCGTTCAGCCACCTCCAGCTAAGTCCTGCACACTGATGTCCCTTGACCAAGGCCTGGCCAGGTTGGTCCATCATTCAACCCGTCAGGGCAGCCCCCAGTGCTTTACTGCCATTAGTTTTGGCAATGGTCACTGCACTGCTTCAGACTGGCTGAGTGTGCGTGAAGGTCTCGAGTGACCAAGAGGGAGCCGTCCCTTAGCCCTCAGTGTCCTATACAATCATTCAGTGGACACTGGCTTCCTGTCAGAAGCAGCTGGCTGATATGTCAAAGCTTCCTTTTTTGAAATATACGACCTGCGAATGCATTAGCAGACAGGGGAACCGCATGCATACAGATATAAATATACACTACATACACTGCATGTGCTAATACATATGCATGCATGCATCTCCATGTAGAAACACACGGGCGCACGCATACATGACTGCACAAATACACACTCTCCACGACAAAATAACAAATGTGCTGCACTGCTGTGTGCAGGATTTGACAATGTGGGAGAGTGATTTATTGGTCCGTGTTTGTTCGGGCTGTTGCTGTAATCAGCACAGTCCCAAGGCATGTCCGTCCCACAGGAAGTCATCTGCCTCAAGTGCTGTGACTTCCTGTCCCCATGGAAAACCCTCGAGGAGAATCAGGGGAGCGGGTTTCAATCGCCATGGCCCCTGACCTGATTCCATGTGCAGTCGTGGCCGTGGCAACCATCGCACACCGTTGCCTCTCGGCACCGCTCTCCATCGGACGTCTTCCCCCTTGAGTTTAAAAATGAATGAAAACATGCATTATTAAAAGCCACCTATCCACCGTATGGACACAGATGGGCACACACTCCACTGGCACTAATAGAAAAACAGTGGGAGAACAGCTTCATTTTTCAAAGAGAGTAATAGCAGCACTCCACAATGAGGTCTTTAATTCCTTCCCCACTCTGGCAAATGAATACAGCGGTCCTGACTCCCCAATGGTCCGACCGTCTTCTGCCTTCTTACTTCATTTGTGAGCCAGGGGGGTCGTGTAAAGGAAAAAAGGGGATCTTCAATAATGTAGCAGCAGAGCCTCCTCAATCTAAAAATGGGCTGAATTTGGGGAGTTGCCTCACGTGGCCTCAGCTATGCCGTTGCTGCTACTCGGATGAGCCTCGAGTGTGACAATGACTTGCTCCCCCAAATGTGCTGCCTCTCAGAACATCACTCATTCCCCTGTTGCCACCACCTGCCTCACACACCATATATCAAACAGCACCCTCTGGTGTCTCCAAGGGAACCTGCATTTGGGGAATGTGGGCTGATGACCAAAACACTGTGCAGTGACATTTAACTATTAAGGCAATTTAAAGCTCTATGTCTGTATTGTTGTTTCCTTGTGTCTCTGAGATCTAACCTTTCTGTGTGCAGGTTGTGCTTAATCATTGATTAATACTGTGGTATTTTTACAGGGTGGCTATGCAGCATACAGATTTGCCCAGCCCACCACCACCGCTGCTTACAGTGACAGGTAAGAAGTCCTCTCCTGTCTTTAAGTAAATGAGCTGCATTGAGAAACCGAGGTTGTGCCACTTTGATGTACAAAGACAAGCGAATGTACAAAATGATGCATGCTTCAGCTGTCCCGGATCTAATAGGTTATTAATTGGATAGTATCAGAAATCGATACATGAATCTTCATTTAATTGTAGTGGCTTTGAAGACAAAGACCACAGGCATTACCTAATTAGTTGGATATCTTGGATCCATTTTGCTATTTTAGGTATGTTTTTCTTATTTCCATGGACAATATGCTGTCAAGGAGTAAGACAGATTTAAAAATTAAATCATCATTAGTAACGGCCTCCTAAATGATTGTTTTGCACAAGTGCACAATGAAACTAAATCCACTATAGAGCAGCAAATAATGACTGAAGTGGGGCAGCAGTGTCTTGGTTGACTGGTTGGTTGATATGCTCTCATCCTACCAAATTCTCATTGGTCAGATAATTGTCGATATTATTTTCGTAAGACGAAAAATCTTTCAGGATTGAAGCTGCAGTGGGCAGAAATCGGAGTCGTGCCCAAAACATGGATAAAAGAGTCAAGCTGGGCTTTGTTACTGATTATAGTCTCTCACCTGATCTAAGTGAAAAGCCCTGTGATTGGCTGAAGTCTATCCTCATGGGTTTGATTTTCTAAAACCTGAAAACAAAGCCAAGGAGTGCAGAACACTAGTTTCCTCTCAGACCACTTGAATGCAATGAAAAGTTAGTACATGTGTTTTGCGCAGTGATTCTACAAAAAAGTACAGCCTACCCCAGCTTTAATCCATTGCTTTTGGCAGCGGGAGGAACAGAATACCTGTGAACATCCCAGCATTTTCACAACTTGAACCACTGACTAGGAGTTGGCTCCAAACTAATTGACACCATGTCACAGAAGTCAGTAAAGGCTAAAGAAGTTGGACCTAGAAGTCTCCATTAAGTTGGTCGGGGTCAAAGTTGTAAAGACACAGGGGTATTCACAGATAGTCTTTTCCTCCGCTGCCAAAGATAATGGACCAATCCTGGATTGCTGTCGACGTAGCGTTTTTTTCCCCTTATTAAAGTACAACCAGTGATTGTTCAACTGATTACAGTTTGGTTGAATCAGAGCCTATCAACCAAGCAACTAACCTGCTAAATACATTTTGTCACAAAATGCAATGAGTATCACAGTGGAGGAGAAGCAAAAGGTGGATTTTTGCTTTAAATAACTCCTGTTTTCCTGTCAAAAAGCAACACAAATAAAGACGTGATGATAGGAGAATGTATGTGATGAATGAGGGCTGCTTCACCTGCATTTTACAATATTCTATGTAAGTTATTTTAGGTTTCTTGAGGTTTTCTTCCTCTCGAGTTATCTTATCTATTAGGCAAACCACCATATTCTTTTTAGCTTGGAGCTAAAGAACACACAAAAAAAGAAGACTAACCTTGTTGGACTCGATGAGAAAAGCAGTGATATATGTCGTGACTCTCTGCTTGTGATGGGAGAGTGGGTATATCACTGCGGTATTTATGAATGGCCTCAGGTCTGTGGAGGAGAGGTAGGGAGACAGAGCGAGGGAGAGATGGACCAGCAGGAACTCTATCACTTCTGAGTGATGTCACTCTGGTTCAGGTGTGCTCCGTTTGAGGAGGCGTCGCTGATTCATTTCGGCCCCTGAAAGCCGTTGTCAGCCGGGATGTGGGCTGGTTTGGGAATCTAATCTGGGAAGGATTGAGCATGTCACTTGTGATAACGTACACCCTGCCTGAGAGCCTGAAGATCATATCGATAATGTAAGATTTATCAGGCCTCGGCGCGGCTCGAATTATGAGCAGCCGTGCTCGGCGAGAGCAGAAATTGGACAGCAGCTTTTTTTTTTTTTTTTTTTTTTTTTCCCTCTGAGTGATTTAATTCCCGTTTCTCTTGCCTATACTTTTCTCTGAGATTTAATATAATTCGCCCCCAAGTTGTTTGTTTTGCTTTGTCTGTTTGTTTCCTTTTGAATAAGCGGTCATGCCCATTGGATCAATAGGGGTTTGTCGGTATTGTCTCAGCAATACCTTATCAGACTTACCGTGAAGCAGTCAGCCAATCATAAAAAAGAGGTCACCAGGATTGTGGAAGGCGTGTGAAACCCCTGTAAAATATGAAACATTTATTATCCGAAAAGCCCACAGTGCTCACAGGCTGCATTACCAAAGCCCTTTCAGTAACTAAACAGAGTTCATACCAGTGAGTCTGATGTATCAAGGAGGCCTTGTGAGGAGCCAGTCACATTGTAGAGACCCTGCTGGCTTCCAATCAGCTCTGTGGAGGCTCGGTGACATTGCACAGGGTGGTTTGACCTGCCCGTCGTCAGCAGTGCCACTCTGGTGAGAGTCATTTTGTAGATATATTAGCCGTAGAGGGCCTGTGGGGTTCGGTGCTCACTGAAGATAAGAGGACCACGGAGACTTCCCCTGACCATCTCATGGCACCGGCCTCCTCCCCAAGGAGCCGAGACAGCCTTTCTGATTTCATGTCCTGCTCACTGACCTTGGGTGCTGCCGGACTTAAATGGGCCGAGCCATATTTAGATCTTATATAACTCAATGTAGCTCATGCAAAAGGCATGAATGCTGTATGTCTTGTTGTCTCCTTTAGGAGAATTTCTTCCTCTCTCCACTTTTTTATTCCTGGTTGATTTGGTGCCCTCAGTCCTTGGCTGGGTGTGCCTTATCTGCTCCGTGCAGACCCTCATTTGCAAGCAAGCACTGGAAAAAAAAAAAAAAAGAAAGAAAGAAAGTAAATAGAGGAATATGTGAAGTCGAATAAATAAATAAATAAGGCAGACACATCTTGTCCTGTCTCAGAAGGAAATTGGAAGGATTAGTTCCAAACCAGCAACAATGAAAAGACAGGGGCGTGAGCCCAGTGTGCAGCCTGGGTAAACAAGAACAGGGTGAGAGACCAAGCCCTCCAGCACCAACTGTGTTCTCCTCCTCTGCATCTTACTCTTTCTGTCTCTCGCTGCTCATTACCTATTCCAGCCACCTAATCAAGATGACAATGAAAAGACAAGTATAATTCACCAACCTTTGAACTCCCCTTTTTGAACCACCTTGTATAATGCAGGAAGCCCAGGAGGCCAGGAGGAAAATAATTGATTGTGTTAGAGACTTGAAAGAGTTGACTTGAGGGGTTGAGCATTAAACAAGCATGCATAAATGTTCTGCTCTCCTCGTCAATGATAGATCAATGACTGTGTTCTCTGTGTCTCCCGCTGTGCAGCTATGGCAGAGTCTATGCAACAGCAGACCCCTATCACCACACAATTGGCCCTGCTGCCACATACAGTGTGGGGACCATGGTAAGTCTATGAGGCTACCGCCTGTTTCTGTCCGCACCCTCTCTCAAATATCATGACACAACTAGCACACACACAACTCACACTCCAAAAATAAAGACCAGAAACCGTAGTGGTCACTGGTTTTTATTTATGTATTATTCATTAATTGATTTAGTTTTTGTCATGCTATCTGGCACACCCTAGTGGAGCTGAGCAGTACTATGAAAGCCCGGCATGCGGAAATTGGCTCCGACATTTAGTGCAATATACTTATGTTATGCCACGCGAGCTCACCTCATGCAATATTGATTTGACACAAGTTCTTCCTGAAATGAGAATGAGTGATCACTGCAGTGTTTTTTTGTTTGTTTTTTTATTTTTTTTTCCCACACAAACTTTGCATCTTACATAACGACGACATTTTCAAGCTTTCTTTTCATTCTACATCGCTCAGCTCACTATAGAGTGAGTTGGATCATCTTTTATTTTTTTCCATTCAGCCAAACCAAACTTTGAAGGGATGAAGTTGAATTGTTAATGTCTGTTTTTAGCTAGCTTTTGCAGCTACTGTAACATCAAAGATGAAAAGTGACGATAAATAAAAGAGCATCTTTTTTGAAACAGAGAGAGTTTCTCTTTGGTTTTGTTTTATGATGATGAGGGGATGGGACCAGGCTCACAGACCAAACCTAGAGATTAAGGACCATCAAACGCATGCAGCAGTGTGCCGTGGGACATAAAAGAGAGAGCAAGACGGAGGGAGGGAGTTGTCTCGCCCTCCTCTCCTGCCCACAAGCTCGATCGGAGGCATGCTCTCTGTTTGAGAAATGATTCAAATTTACCATTCCGGCATGCATGCGATTTTTCAACAGCATTAAAAAAAAAAAGTTTAAAAAAAAAAAAAAAAAGCATACAGTTCCCCGGTGCAGCTGCTAGCTAAAAGCTTTCATTAATTAAGACATTTCTTTTCCCTCTTCATTTACTTAATTAAAAAATGTGCTTGAATGTTTTTTATTCTTTCTTCTTTTCCCTCCAAATTTCCTTCCATTTCGCTGACACTTTAATCGTCCGTTCAATGAAAGTAGACGACAGGATCTGGCCCCTAAAAATATCAGAGCTAATGTTGTGTGTGTTGGGAGCTCAGGGAGCTAACACAGGCTCGAGAGGGAGAGTGTGTGTGTGTGTGTGTGTGTGTGTGTGGGTGTGTGGGTTCGTGTGGTGTCGAACAAATGGCGAGGCTACTGGGAGACAGGCTGTGCTGAGGCCAACATCTAATAAACTCCTGAGCTAAAGAGAAAAGACCAGTTTGGTTCCTAATTCTTTAATCATATTTGATTAATGGTTCTCCAGCAGAGAGGAGTCATTTTTGCATTTAAAAGCTATACAATAATTAGTTCCTCTGAGGTTGAGGTTGGAAATTCTCTTTACTCATTTCCAGCTTACAGAAGCATCTCATATGGATGAAAGTTTTGTACAAGCAAGAGGGGCTCCCTGAAATTAGGCAAAATTAGCCTTTGAAGACATTCAGTAGCCTTTGGAGTTTGTCTGAATTCCTAATTGCGGCAGAGCCACCGAAAGATGAGAGGAGGGACTGTGTGTGTGTGTGTGTGTGTGTGTGTGTGTGTGTGTGTGTGCATGTGCAGGTGTGCATGCATAGGCCCACTTGCATGCTTTATGTGTGTCTGGCCTAGATATCTTGAGCATGGTGCTAAATCTAAGGGCTAATATCCTGTGGTGGTTTGCCCCTCCAGAAAGGTGCAGACACCTCTGCTAGACTTGAAAAGGAGCTGTGATTAAACCTCTCTGAACTTATTCTGCTTTGGTTGAATCTCTGATAGGGGTACAGTCCTAAAAGGAAGGGAAAAAAACACAATATTTTACAATGATTTCTTTATGTAATTAAATAAAATATGTAAGCCCTGGCCCAGCATTATTATTATAATAGTTTTTCCAAGAAAGTGCTCTTTTTTTTTGCTCTTATATTTAAAAACTATTTCCTTTCTATGAATTGTACGAACTAAGCTCCAAATCTGCTTTAAATTCTGATGACCCTGTTCCTAACACACACTCACAGTGTCCACAATTAGGCGTTTCATTCAACAAAAGCAGTTATTGGCTTAAATATATCAAACCATCAATCTGTCTCATGAATGCTGCCGTATTGAAACAGCTACTCCAATACGAAAACTCAATAACTTAAAAGGAAGGAAATTTGTGGAGAAAGAGAAACCAACTAAAGCTGTCACCTGAATACTGATTGGTACTTTTTCATCTTTGATGTTGCAGGCTAGCCTATACAGAGGAGGGTACAGTCGCTTCACTCCCTACTAAAAGAAAGAAAAAAAGCGAGAAAAGACAGAGACATTACCCCAACAAACAAACAAACAAAAAAAAAAACAATCTTAAAGAAAAAAAAAGAAAAAAAAAAAAAAAAGACAAACACAAAACAAGCGAACACCCGGTCCTTGGTGGAGAGCTAAATCAAACTAAAAGCTTCCAGGTCCACATGCTGAGCCCCTCCCCTGACACCCTCTCAAGCCGATATTTCTACAACAACCTTTTTGATGTCATCATTGTTCTGCTCTTGTTTTGTATTCATTTTTGTGCTTTTGGTTTTCTTTTGGAAAGTTTTTTATGCACATGTGCATTATCTTGATTGCTGTATATGGGTGCTGTGTCACCATAACCAATGTGAGCCTACTGCAGCACGCATGGTGCATGCTCAGAGGTGTGTGTATGCAGCCGCTGTCATCTGACTAAGAATATACTGGGGCATTTCTATGATGAACAAACAAGGAATCAGGTTGACGCTGATCACTGATCCATCCCATTTAATTACTTCTCTAACATTTATCTTCCATGTAACATGTAGAAATAAAGATCTCAGTCTCACTAACATGCCTTGGTAATTCTTAGTTCAAAGACGGCACTGCTCTGATTGCTTTTGTTTTTTTTGTTCTTTTTTTTTTTTTAATGTTGGAGTGTCCTACTGTTGTGCACTTGCAGTGGAGCCTTACAAGCTGTACTATGTGGTATGACAGCATGCAGAGTAAAGGGTCATGAAGGTCAGACTCCTGTCTTGGACTCACAATGCTCATATGCCAGCCCAGTCTCCTGCAAGTTACGGCGCGTTTATGTGCAACTATTCTGCATCGACGGGTGTGTTTTGGGGGAAATGTAACGCTGCGTAGCAATTCATACGAGTACAGTCGAACGTAAATATGGGGATGAACATTTGCCTTTCCCACTGGCAGCCTCTGTTCACATCTCATCTCGTGCTCGGCGCTATTTTTAGCTTTCCATAGGACCAATTGCGAGGGAACACAGGCTAAATGAACCATGTGCTTTAAGCCGCCTAAAATTACTTTAGGGTTACTCGTCTTTTATTAGATCCTCTTCTCGTAAACGTCTTTTCTCCAAGCTCAAGCTGAGACGATGAAATCAGTGCTTCTAATACTTTAAAAAAAAGCTCCTCCAGAACCACAAAAGACATTCTACAAGTGCACGGAACAGGCGGAATAGTTCTGTAAGCAGAACGGTGGACCTAGCATTAGTGGAGAGCCCCTGTAAGGAGCTATTCACAAACAATGTGTAATAATCTGTTTTAAAAGATTAAGTCCTGTAATGTTAATTAATTAATTAATTAATTCTGTTGTAAGTTGTACTGTTGTTGTCGTGGAGCACATTATACTGTAGGCTTTTTCTAATATTTAGTCCAGTTTGGGACGTTAGCCTGCAGGGCTTCACAGGTAATCAAATGTAAATCACAAATTTGGCTTCCCACAATTCAATAAAAAATCAAATGACGTTTGAAATGCGCTGTTCACAGATAACAGCAGAGTAAAGTCTTTTTTTTTTTTTGTCAGGGAATAGAGTTGCAGAGTGGGGAGACTAGAGGCGTCTCTGTGCACGCTCACTACCGGCGTGCGAGGCATTTAGGGACCATTGGTAAACTGCATTGTCTCAGCAAGTGAGGCATTTCGGTAGAATTTTATTTATATTTTGTCCCTAAAATGAATTAATAATTGTGATAATAATTTGTTCAATATTGATCACAGTAATAATTATGCAGCCTGTAAATACGATTTATAACTAAACTGATTAGTCGCTGGGGAGGTAACTCGGTTCCAGCTTTTTAAAAAATAATGCTTGGCTGCTTTTTACCATTTCTTATTCATTGTAAGTTGAATCCCTTTTGACTTTAGATTTTCAAGGCAATTTGAAGATGTCACCTTTTGCTCTGGGAACTCATAATAAATGTTTTTTCACACTTCGCTAATTAAATAGGTTCATCCATTAATCAAAAACGTACATTAGAACGTGCAAAGATTTCTGTTGCTCTGCAGTGTATGTCCCCCCAAAGCAGCGCTGTTAAACCGCAGAATAGTCGCATATGAAGTGAATTTGCAGAAGACACGGCCGCATATCCTCACTAATACACCACGGCAGATGATCTCTACACAACACGTACTGCAACACCAAACATCTTCCACATCCACTCACACACACAGCAATGACACAGCACAGAGGTGGGTGAACCTGACAGAGGGCTGTTCTTCGACAAGTCACTAGTCTCTTTTGTCTTTTTTTTTTTTACCATCGCACAAAATGTTTTACCTCAGGATAAGCTAACTGAAACTCACAAATTACAATACAGTGCTACTTACTTCTCAGCAGGCAGGACAGTTTCATTTCTAACACAACCAGCAGGTTTGTCCTCTTTGCAACACGGCTTTCTACAAGAGCTGATTTTTGAGTTTTGTTTAAGCAGAGACCCTAAGAGAGGACGATAAAAATAAGACTGTACTGTTGTTCTTTATTCAGACTACTGTATTATATATATGTAGACATATACTGTATAACACATCTTACACTGTATTCACACACAAGTACAGGAAGATATTATATAAAAGCACCCAGGAGTTAGGAGAAACAATGTAAATGTGTGTAGAGTGCAGACGTGCTCGCCTCTTAGTCGACATACAGTCATTGCATTGGCTTCTATTACAACTTTGTGCTACGTGAGGTGGATTTAAAAATAAAAAATCTCTGTGTAGCTACTGTTAGCTGTCAAGATTTCAGTGCAGCTATGGAAATACGACTCAAAGCTATTGCCAATAATATTTAATTTATATGTACTCACAAAAGTGTTTGTGGTCTCAAAAGAAATCTGTTTGTTGCACTTTATTTGTTCATGTTTTTTTCAATACTTTCTGAGATGTAACATATTTATAAAAAAAAAAAGAGAAAAGTATCATATACAGCTAGTTATGTTTAGTCAAGATGTTAAAATGATATATTGTTGTATATCAAAAAAAAAAAAAAAACGAAAGAAAATTAACCCATTATCTCATGAGTCAAAGAAAAATCTTTATGTGGGTAAACAAACATTGTTCTTCCTTTTATATGCTAGTACGTATGCCACGCAACATTTGGGGTTTTTATAAGAGAAAAAAAAAAAAACTAACTTTGAATATTATTTTTACCATTTTCAAATGGGAAAAGCTGGTTCGAGCATTTGAGAGGAGTTTCTGATATAAACTCTGCAGCAGAGTACATGTGTGGGTGTTCAGTTAGTGACCACTATTAGTAAGCTAGACTGGAATGAAATAGATTTTTTTTGCTTTCTGATCTGAATGTGTGTGCCTCTGTGCTATATATATATATATATATATATATATATATATATATATATATATATATACACACATGCATTAGAATGTTTGTGTTCGAGTGTGCAAGGGAGGAGAGGATGGAGGGAGTGAATGCAGTTTGCTACCATACTGTAGTTTGCAGTAAGCTAACAGTTTGACATGACTTCACTCTAAGTCCCTGTAATAACATCACAATATCAGAATTCTACCGTCATACACTGACGATCAAGACGCTGAACTTTTCCTCATTTTACATATTGGTGGACTGTTTTGGCTTTTAGTTAAGGAGATCCACTTGGTCTCCTTATTTAAAAGAGCAGAGGAGGTGCATGTGCTAATGCTTTTGCATTCACCAGAAGGAAATGTAAAGATTGATGTCAAATAGGTGCTACATGAAAATTAATTTAAATATTAGACAACTCACCAGGTTATCATAGAGACAAAACAAGGTGTCCCTATTTATTTATTTATTTATTTTTGGCCACCATACATACATATGCAGACAATAAGAGAGCACGAAATTCCCTTTCATGCCTATGCTGCTAAAGGAAAGTCGAGTCGTAGATTTCCTCCTCCTTAAATACCACAAGCTGGTAAACCGTCTTGTTGAATCAATCAAATTTTTCTGCAACTTAACACCGACAAAATTGAGGTCCTCATCACTGGTGCTAAAGAATTACAGACTCATTTCAGTGCTCATTGACAAAAGCTGGCTATAAACACAAAGCATGAAGCGAAAAAAGAAACTTCTGTGTTTTCTTTGACTGCAGCCTGAAAAATCACCAGAAATGCATTTTACCATCTCAGAAGTATCGCCCGCATGCAACCTTTCCTTTCTGAGACACGCTGAAAAACTCATTCATGCTTTTATTTCAAGCAGACTTGACTCTTGCAGTGCCCTTTTCTCAGGCCTCCCGTAGTAAATCTCTGAACAAACTTGAGATGATCTGAAATGCAGCAGAACATCTTCTCATCCTAACTAAACACAGACAATGCATAGTGCTGCTTTCAAAGGCACGTCTATTGGCGCCCTGTTCAGATAGAACCCATGTTAACATTCTGCTTTTGGTTTATAGAGCGTGTCCCCCTCTAGATCCTTAACATTCTCTTAATGCTCTCTTAAATGTTCCTCAGAGTCGAGGAACTGCTGCCTACTACTAGTAGTAGTGGAATGTAGTAGTACTGTCCTTAAGTACACATTGTAGATACATGCACTTTGAGTATTTTCTTTTCAGCACTTTTTACTTCACTGCATTTGTCTGACGGCTCCAGTCACTTGAAAAAAATACGATTTTTGCAAGTAAAACATATGAAAAACTTTAAAAATGTGATTTGTGTGTTTACTAATAAATTATACCCAACAGTTTCTATAAGTCGATGAATCAGTTGAGAGAAAACTGATTGATTTGATTTGAGTATTTTGATAAACCTTTACAGTATTTGTCTTTATTTTCCAATTTTTTTAATACTAAATATTTGATTAAGAAAATTATTATCGCATTAAACTATAATGAAATGAATCATAATTTGAAGTTTGATACTAAATAGCTCGTTTCTCTAGCGACATCGTTTTTGCATTGAGTATATTTTCTCTTAACACTTTTATTATAAAACCTAAATCCTTTTAATAGCTTAAGTGACATTTTGAATGCAGGACTTTTACATGTAACTGATTACTTTTACAGTTTGGTATTAATCTACTTTTACTTAAGTACGG